TTTTTTTTTTTTTTTTTTTTTTTTTTTTTTTTGCATATTTCACTTTATTTTACTTTTTTTACTGTTTGACGACATATATTAATGTCAAAAAAGTTGTCAAAGAAAGGTTAAAACTTACAGTATATACGTGAAAAAAAAAAAAAACAAGAAGTGATTTATGAAAGAAAGACAATAATTGCACGTCAATCTATTTTTTGAAAAAAGTTACTGCAAATTTTTTAATATATGATTTTTCATTCAGCAGAAATTTAAAGAATCAAATTTTTTTAATACTTTGCTTTTTTTCTGGTTTCTTTCAAAGTTTAAGATGCAGCCTTTTATGTGCTTCAGTTTCAAAAATAAAAAAATATTTACAATTGTATTGGTTAAATTACAACTGACCTATTCAATAACGTCAATAACTACAAATAATACAAATCCATATTAAAAAAAAAAAATTTTTTTTCAAAAATTTTTTTAATGTTTACTACTGGGTAAAAAAAATTGAAAGATAAAATGCACACTTACTATCGGCATGTATAAGAACAGAAATTTTTTTGCCTTATTAATTTGAACGAGCTTATTGTGCTGATTTGACTTATCATGAGCACATAGTACGAACATCTAATCTCAGTTTAATGTTAATCAACTGTAATTTTTGAATACTGATATGTCAGTATTATTACTGTTAAAAGAGTACGGCAAGAAAATATCGACATCATCTTTCAAACGTCTACCTAACAGCTGACATATAGCACCATCACTGTGGACAGCGGATGACAAACGATATATTTACACAAATCAGTTGTTACATCTTTATGGAACCTGATCCTTATCTAGAACTACACGCAAAAAAAGAATCATACTGTCTATAAGCGTTAAGTAACCCCTGCAACTTGTTACAGTATGACTTAGCAAGCGTTTTTAACCAGAAGAAATAACCTACTTATATTAAAGTGAGGAAGAGTACAGAAAAAATATTAAGTTTAATTTCAGCAAAACTGTTTCTTGAAATTCAAATTTTATTGGTATTTTTTTTTTTGGAAGACGCTACCTACTTCTAATAATAAAAAACTTGGTCTATCTAAAGTTGAAAAATGAAGGTGAATGAGACATCATTTTACTCACCAAATCTTTTAACTCGATCCGACCGGTTCAGTATTAATTTCCCTCCGCAACGAGGTCTTTTCATAACATCAATGGTATCGTCATCTAATTCACCGGAAATTTTTAGACCCATTTCCTCTTGGAATTTTTTCAACGCTTCAGTTAAGTCATCAAATTCAGAAACTTTTGTTGTATATCCATATCGCTGCAGGTACCTCTAAAGTTCGAAAACTGTTTGTTGCCAAAATTCCTTCAAATCGAATGGCACTGTTACTATTATCTAAATTTGTTCGTTCAATCTTTTTTACTTTAGTCACACTATAACTACATTTTTTTTTAATTGATCGACACGAAACATTCTGATGTCTCTTCTTCTGCTTTTCAACACGATTTGTTGCTCACAAAACACCCTCTTAGTTTATCAATCTACTGGACATTTTCATATTTTGAAATATACAGTTCTTAAGTCTATCAATATGGTTATACTAGACTCACTTTACCTACTTGGAAACTGTGTAGATTTTACTGCCGTAATATTTTATAGGAAACTGTAGGCTCAGATGTTTTGCTTCTCTAGCAGGCTTTTAGCCTATGCAGAAAGGCATATGGTATTGTAGATATGTTTAGGTATTCTCGCTACGAAAAAATTCTACTCACTTAAAAACTTACGCAGAGACCACCCAAAATAAAATACGAAAAAGTTGAGCAGAAAGGAGATTTAAATTTATATATCGCTTAACTGTTTTTTACAAGATGAAAAAATGATAAAGGTTGATAACAGTTGAAGATACAGCTATCGGTTACTACTTCTACAAATTAAATGCCCAATCTGATTGTGAAACAAAACTACACACTCGATACTACGATAAAAAAATGTGTCTCGTAAATTTTTAAGTGCAAAACTTGTTATTTATCATTTGCACTATTAACTCGTTCTCCGCCATTCGAAAAAAAATCTGAGTTTATTAGCAGCTAACCTCTGAGATATGAAGCATTTAGGTACTTATGAACAATAGATCATCAAGCACTATTTGAATCACTGAAAATATTTGCCCTTTCATATGCTCATTTTCAAGCAGTTTCAAAAATTCGGAAGGTGTTTATTAAGAGGTCAACCATAACGACAAAAGATCAAAGTGAAATTACCAGAAATATAAGTGAAAAAAATGATAAAAAAGCATGAGAGAAAAAGGAGTACACTAAGTAAAACAAAGAAAAATAGAAAAAAAACAGGTGTCCACCTATAGGTAAAGTCGGTGATAACAAAGTGACTTCTTTTTTCTCGACAAAAGTAACATCTGCCAACGAAAAGACTGTTTGAAAAAGCGAAGAAAAAAAAACAGTTAAAAACTGACTGAACTATGAAACCAGCATTCACTAGTAAAAAATTCATGTCATGCATATATAGTTTCAAATAGACGTTTTAAATGCAAAGGGCATTTGGCAAAATTTTAAAAAAAAAAAAAGAAAGAAAAAAACAAAAAAAGTGAAGAGAGAAACTAAGTTTTTGTTAATATCTTTCTTTCCACGTTTTTTTTCTCAAGGATTCTTCGGAATTTTTTCATTTAGTTAGCCATTTTGAGCAGCTCACCGAAGCAAATTGAAGTTGTTGAAGATTTTTGGTAAATAAGCTTCTGGCTAGCAGGCTTGGATAAGCTTCAGCAACTTCTGTTAGGAACACAGAGACGAAAGCTAGAGGCAGCACAATGAGCTTCACCATTGCTCCTAGCCGCCCGTTTCCCTGGGTCCGTTTGATAATGATTTTTACCCGAAAAATTTTAGGGTAATACTGATTCAACCAAAAAGTTTTTTTCTACCGACATTATACATACCCAACCCAATCATCATCTCTATTCGCCTTAATCACATCACATCGTAAAAATACACCAATAAGAAGTGCCCTCAATCGCCACGCCCAGCAATCGGTTGAAAAGAAAACTGCCCATTTTTATGTTCTCCTTTTCGCCTATTCCAAACAGTTTATTTTGTTGGTATCAACGAAGAGTTTTCTTTGTGAAACCTGCCTTCTCAGAATGCTCTGTTTCTTGGCAGCCTGTATGTATGAAAGACGTGTTGAAGAAGGAATAAAAGGACAAAGTAGAATAAGAGAAGAAAATGATAATGATGATGATGATGATGATGATAACGTTGATGACAGTGATGGTGGTGATGGTGGCGTACAGGAAGGCTACGATAGTGATGGCGTTACTCGTAATGGTAGCGATGATGAGGGAAAGGAATACGGTGATAATGATAAAAGTGATAATAGCGGTAGTGTCGGTGAGGAAGAGGAAGAAGAAGAGGATGGAGAAAGCGAATATGAAGATGAAGATGAAGAAGATGAAGAAATCAAAAAATTTCTTGATAATACACCACTACGTTCGGTGTTCTTCTACATTGCATTTGTTTTCTTAACTATTTCTTTCTGTATTCCATCGCTTCCTCCACAACTGCACGTTTTTATTTTTGGTTATTAGCGCAAACGTTTTTCCTTGTTACCACTGTATTTGTAGCAACCACTTTTTTTGTTTGTATAGTTTTTTCTTTTGTGTAGTTGTTCTGTTGTGTTTGACAAAAAACCTTGAAAATAAGAATTGCAATACCAACAAATAATGACATCACCAAATCAACATTAATAATTTAGCGTACAATAAAAGCTTTTATTTAATAATTTTTTTGTCTTCTTCTACAGCGTTTGATTACACTGTTTCCATACAGCTTCCATATCGGCCATATCGCGTCATTTACACACGTTCGATAGACAATAGATGAAGTGATACGTTCACCATTTCGTCCATACCGTCCCCCATTGAAACAATCACTGAAGCTTTTCTTCAGTTCAGTCAGTTAATTTGCAAGGTTAAAAGGCATAAAATATTAACCGTCGAATGCGAATGTTGCGGTACAAAAACAATAAAGATAACAGACTTTATTCATCTGTTTTATAGACGAACTGTAAAATTATCACGATGCATTAGCAAAATGCTGCATAACTGTGTGTTTCGTTGCGATACGGCTGTAACTTCGTTTTTATTTGTTTCTGTACCCGTGTGTGCGGGTTTTTTTTTACTTTTTTTATTTTTGGTGACTGTCGACATATGACGCTTTGAATCACTACATTAATAAAAAAAGTTTTTTTTTAAGGTACTGGTAGTTTTGCGCAATTTTTATCTTCTTTCTATGCAGTGATTTTTCGTAACGATAGAAAAAAAGAAAGAAAAACAAAAATTAAAGACATAAGGAAAAAGTAAGGAAAAAAGTAACACTACTCGACAGTTTTTGCACAATTTTCGCATTTTTTGTTCTGCAAATTTTTATTTTTTAATAATCTTAAATATAGTTCTTTTCTTGTTTCTATAAACAGCCATTGCAATCAGTTTCTTTTTTTTTCTCTTTTTTGTTCAGATATTCAACAACAGTTTCCAAACTAACGTGATTGAGCGGATGGTTTCGGCCAAACATTAAGTTTTCTGCGGCGTAAACCATCGGCATAACATCTTTGAAATCATCTGAAAATCAGCATTTTTCATTAGTCTCTTTTGGCTTCAATAATATACTTCCATGTTACATATAAATATATTTATTTATTTATTTATTTATATATTTATATATAATTGTGTATGCATATAAAACAACAGAGGGGAGACAACATATACCTTTACAGATACATGTTGCATAAG